CAAAAGAGGGGGGGGGGGGCTGGGGATGCTGCTGTGGGTCCCTGACTGCTCCCTGTGTCCCCAGGGAGCGAGGTGTCCCAGGAGAGCCTGCTCCTCCACGGCCCCTTCGCCCGCAAGCCCAAGCGCATCCGCACAGCGTTCTCGCCCTCGCAGCTCCTGCGCCTGGAACGGGCCTTTGAGAAGAACCACTACGTGGTGGGCGCCGAGCGCAAGCAGCTGGCCAGCAGCCTCAGCCTCTCCGAGACCCAGGTACCCCCCAGGGCAGCCCCCCCGCTTGTCCCACTGCCCCCTCCCTCCATCCATCCATCCATCCATCCATCCATCCATCCATCCATCCATCCATCCATCCATCCATCCATCCATCCATCCATCCATCCATCCATCCGCAGCTCAGCGTCGGGCTCGCCAGACACGGCACCGACCCCGCGCTGAGCTCCGGCCACGCTCTGCAAAATCCCAGCTGGGTTTAGCCAGGAATTCCCTCGTGGAATCTGTGGCCGAACCCTGCGGGTTGGTCTGGGCTCAGGAAGGTTGGGGTGGGCTTTATTTTTGTGCAGTTTGGTCGTTACTTCCAGCCCTGGCAGGGCTCAGGGCTGGGGGTGCAGGTGCCACTCTCTGGAGTGTTGTTCCAGTGTTATTTCCTGCTTGTTTAAGGGTGTTTTCCCCTGGAGTAATAGATGATTTTAAAAATCCAGTTAAAAAAAAAAAAGAGGGGGAAGCATGAGACCTTTCCCTGGAGAGCTGCAAGGTTTCCCCCTGGTTGTGCTGCTTTGGTGGGGTTGTTGCCCAGCAGGCAGGACGGGAGCAAGGCCGGTGCCTGCTGACAGGCATTTATTTCTGTTGCAACCTCCTGGATTTTAAAAATACAACCTTTTTCACACACATTTAGAAATGAATAGACCCAGGAAGATCTTAGGGATAAAAGCTGATGGTGCTGGGAGGACAGAGAGAAGTTGGGACTGAACATCTCTGTGTGTGCGTGAGCCTGGTGTCCTGGTGAGCAGCTGTTCCCAAAAGCTCCAGGTGATGAGATCCCATCATATCCAGGAACAGAGTTGATGGAGAAAGTTTCCTCCCAATTCTGGCGAGGTGCTTCGGCCTATATTGGGAATTCATTTAATTGTTATCCTTAAATTGGATTGGAACACAAAGCTGGAGCCCTGGGTGCTCCCAGTGCCCGCCCTGGCTCATCCTCCCCCAGGCTCCTCCAAAGCAAAACCTCCAAATGCCTCTTGGAGTTATTGGGAGGAAAATATCAGGGGGGACAGGGGGGGGATCCCAGGTGACAATATCGGGCAGGACAGAGCCCACAAAATCCGAAGGTTGTTTGTATCCCGACCCCCCCCCTGCTCCCCTCCTTCCTCTCACCTCTCCGGGCTGGAAACGATGTCCAAGAGGGAGGAAAAAAAACAACAAAACCCACAACAAAAATACAACCCAAAGGTCAAAGAACAACCAGGAGGAACTTGTCCGGGCAGAAAGGGCAGCTGCGGGATGCCCGAGGGGCAGCGCCGAGAGTCCTGCGGGTTTTGCCTCATTGCCTGGAGCCGAATAATGCGATTTCTGGGGGGAAAAACAGAGGGATCTGTCCCCCCACCGGGGGGGTGGGAAGGCTGGGAAGTGGGAAGAGAGCAGAAAAGACATTTGGGTTGGTTTTTATTTTCATCTTTTCATTTTATTTTCATGTTTTTCTTTTATTTTCATCTTTGTATTTGATTTTTAACGCGACCGCCGCGGGATCCGTCGGGTGGTATTTCCATGGGTTTGAATTTCTGCTGCTGCTGCTGCAGCCCGGAGCGGGGAGATTCATCACCTGCGGGCCGGGAA